GCTTAAGTCAATGTCCTTTCCTGAGCATTTTTTCCAAGCCAGATGAGGCAGCTCTACAACTGAGATACTCATCTCACTGCACTCCTCATACAGATGCTGTTAGGCACCTAACTTTGAGCAGCTGGATGCCTAGGAAGTCAGTGGATCTTAGAACCAGCCCGGCCACCAGCCACCTTGTTGGTGTCTCCCAACAAGGATGGAGTTTCCTTTGAAATGAAATTGGTGTTTCCAGACAGAGCATGCAAACGAGCTTGAAAATATGTCCTGAAATTCCTCAGTGCATAAAGACTTCCTTCACCTGCAGACAGCCATAGACATTAGCTCTGAAATAAAATCTCCATCTTCCTCTTGTGTGTGAAATCTACTGCCATCCTGTTAGCTGGAAACCACTGTTGGGGTCCAGGTGTGGCTGTAAGGATGCAGTGAGATGTCCTGAGATCAACAGATTGGTTCTGAACACCAGGGAAAGATGTGTGAATACGTTGTTTACATTTTTTTACTAACAACCAGAGACACTGCAATATTGCTTGCCACACAGCAAATATGCTTCATTGCCAGGCAGTTTACACATCTTCCTTTCCCACATGCAAATAGGCAGTCACCCATCTTATCTGCAAGGTATCCATGCAACGTGACAGTGCTGAATTGCTCAGTCTGCTCACGATGGCTATAGAAAGAGCCTGAGCAGGCTCTTTGTGGAGAGGAGCACTTGAGGTGTCACAGAACTGCTGCTGCATGCAGCAGGCTGTGGTTGGAGTAGAGGGTTCTGATGCTGCTCTTCTGTCTTGCCAAAGAACTTTCCCATATACCCTGCTCTTATCTCCATCTTCTGTCAAGCCCAGTGGAAGGCATGGGGTCTTGAATTAAAGACCCGTTAATGTGGCAAGAGTGGAAACACAATGCTCAGTGTTAACTGCTTGACTATGTTTGGAGTGGGTACATTCTGGCCTCTTTCTTTGCACCACGGCATTTGACTGTTCAGCAGGAAATACATGTCTTATATTTCACAAGTACTGCTCTGCGCTGTGTCCCTTGATTTGGGATTGTTCACTTTGTCACAGCTTCACATTGCTAAAGGGTGACCAGCAGCCTCTGGGGAGAGCAAGAGTCAGGATATATGTCCTGTAACCACAACCCTGATCCTCATTTTATTATTACTATTTTTGAGTAGCTTAAATCTCACTAAGACCATTGGGGGTGTAACAAAATTGCCCATCGTTTTCCTCACAGTCAGTATCATACACACTAACTACACCAGTGTTACTAACCTGAAATGTATGTATAAAACATACAGGGAATGTGGGAGGTGTGGGGTGAGGATCAAGCCAATAACTACTAAGAAGACACAGCTTTTCCACCCTTGTGAAGAAGAAAGGTAATTTGTAGTTGCTAGCATTCCTGTGACAGTTGAAGAGTTTGTGATTAGCTTTCTGATACAAGCCGTTACAACAGCAGCTCTCTGCAGGTACCAAAGCAAACTATCTGATCAGGGTTATTCAGGAAATCTTTCCTTCCTGTGTGAGGGGCACATTTTCTGATATTGTTGCAAATATTTCCTTTTTCTCCTATTTCCTAACAGCAGTTAGGGTGGCAGCTCAACTCTTTCTGGATGAACTGGTGTAGGTTCAGGCTGCTGGACCACATGGTCTTTGCCACTGCTGCTGTCTGCTTTCAGTGTTTTTATGGGCTTCGTAATGGTAATGGGCAACTTTGCCTGACCTAGTCAAAGGCAAGTAGGACGGGTGTAGCAGCAATTTGAAAAGGGGTATAGTGGGCAGAGTTTGCTTCATCATTTCTGATTCCAATAAGGATTCAGTGATTCACAAGAGGATAATCAAATAAAAAGTGAGTCTGAATGTAATGGCCCCCAAAAATTTCAAAATCAGAAGAATCTCATTAGTGTTACTGGATTATTAAATGTGTTCAGTTGTGCATTTGGGGATGATAGAGTAATTCATCATGTGGGTGACAGGGAAATACTCTCCTTTATAGGAAAAAGTGTTGCCCAGAGGAAGACTCAGATGGTGATGCCTACTTGTCACCACCCATGGATACTTGTCTCCTCAGGCTAAGAGTGAATTTGCCATGATAACATCATACCTGCATGTTATCATCCCTCCAAGCCAACAACATCAAGGATTGACACCCCTGCCAGGCCACTGAAATCTGCAGCCCAGTGGGAAGTATCTGCCTCCTGCATGAGAAGGCTGCTTCCTTGCACGGGGGGCAGGGAAGGAGGGATGGGAAAAGACCCTTGTGGGAGCCGCAAACATCAAATAACCATTTGAACTGTTGCAGCAACAGCAGAATAAAACCAACGAGGAGAGTCAGTGTGGGGAGCTTACAACCAAGTGCCTGGTTTCCAGTGGTTGCCTGGCTCCCCTCTCCCCAGGGCGCATGGGGCCACAGGGACATGGGGTCCACAGGAGTACATATGGGTGATGCCGGCGGGGCTGGGCGAGTGGCCGCCGGCTCCACGGCGCTGCTTGTTGTTGTTGGTCCGGCGCAGGAACTTGGCAGGGGCGCGCAGCCGGTCCCCGCTCCGGGTCCCACAGGCAGGAAAAGTCTCCCAGCCTGCGGAGGAGACAGCCTGGCTGAAAAAGCCCCGCCAACTCTGCTGCAGATAAGTTAATGTACACAGAAGGGACGTAAATTACCACGACCCTCAGCAGCAGGACATTGGCCAGGGCCTGTCAGGAGGAGGACAAGCGTCGGCAGGCTCCGCGCCTCGCTGACATTTACCTCCAGATAGAGCCGCCGCTGCCTGGCGAGGAAGGACCTGGTGGAGCCAGGGCTTCCTTGAAAACAGCTGCCTGTCCCCGACACCTACAAACTAATGCGGTTTTAATCAGGGGAATTAACGGAAGGCAGCGCTCTGTTTTCCCAAACGATTTGCATGGGGACGGCAGCCTTGTTCTCCCTCTTCCCCCGCCGCCTCCTCTGTGGCTCCACTGCCATTTCCCTTATGCTTCTTTATCTGCGCTGATTTTTTTCCTGCTCCCCCCTCCGGGGAGCCAGACGTGCCTTCATCTCCACCCCCTGAGCCCTGACGACACTCACCTCCCTGTTTACACACTGACATCACGCTGCAGCCTCCCTCCAGCCCAGAAATAACCCCCGGGAATAAAGCAAACAGGAAAAGGCCACCGCCGTTGTTGCCTCCTTCGCAGCTACAGCTACATCACCCCTTCAGGGGCTGCACCCGCACAGAGCCATGCACAGGCGGTGGGATCCTGGGGGATCCTCTCCAGCCCTGTGTCCCTGGAGCTACACATATGGCATAAAGTCACACATGACGCCCGACTCCCAGTCTCCATTTGGCAGATGGATGGAGCCAAGGTGGGACAACTGCATCTAGATAATAGGAGGATTCTGTGGGAGGGCCCACGCTGGAGACCAAATCTTCCAGACTTATACTTTAGCCACTACACCATGCTTCCCTGTATAAATACATTCTCCTCTCTCTTTCTCCACCCCTGTGTTTTATTTTCCTTCATGGAGAGGCACAGTTAAGCTTAAAGCCAGGTGTACTGAATACAGTGGGAACAACAATGGGAAAATGTCTTCAGGGTCACCCTCGGTTATTCCAAATAGCGTGTTGTAGTCCACTCACAGCACATTAATTTCAGCAGGACTCCTTGTGTGGTAAGCTCCTACCCAAGATGTGTGTGGGAGGCACATTTGGGCCCATGGAGATTTCATTATTGTTGTAAGATCCAGTGTTAGAAGGCTCCAGGGGACAGCACTTTGCTTTCCCTCTTAGGGAAAAGCCAGACTTAGGCTAACTTCTCTGTCTTAACATATTGCTTGCCCTTACTTTCATGAGCTCTGCTCTTTTGTGTTTGCTATATGCTGTGTCTGCATACCTGGCAGAAGACCACTACCATGGCTGTGCTCACTAGAACTGTACTGGATCATTTAGGTTGCATAAATGTCCCTACATGCCTAGGCTATTTTCTCTGGCTTTGGAAAGGCAATTGCAGTTCAGCAAGGAATGGGTAATTTTATGGAGGCCAGAGAACAGGTGCTGTGCCCAGGAAAGCTCTTTTGCTTGCTACTTTTTCCCTGGAGATGCTGGGTACAGCAAGATGTCCTAGGACCAGACCTGTTTGAGTCCGTGGCTATTTCATGCAGTTGGCTTTACAGGCATGTCTGCATATGGAGTAGGAGAGAGCAAGCACAGAGAACTCTTGCCCAAAGCCTTTGTAACCTATGTTAGAGGCAAGAAGTATGTACAGAAATCACACAAAAAGATAGTTATTCTGATAATTAGATTTAAAAGAAGTAAATAAATAGGCTTACTGTATTCAGGATTTCCAGGGGCTTTCCATAAGTGCCAGCATTCCCATCCACTTGTTGAAAGGCAGAAACTGTGTATGCTCATGACTTCCCTGTCTGTAAGGCTGAATCCTAAAGGGTGACCTGGGAACACTGATTATGGAGTTACGGAGCAGTTTATCTTGAGTACCATCCCTCAGCATGTCCCATGTTCAGAGGACACATTATTGCTCTCTACAACTACCTGAAAGGAGGTTGTAGCAAGAGAGGTGTCAGTCTATTTTCCCAAGTAACGAGATAGGACAAAAGGAAATGACCTCAAGTTGTAGATGTGGCACTTAGTTAACATGGATTAGTGGTGGACTTGACAGTCGTGGGGTAACAGTTGGACTTGATCTTAAAGGGTTTTTTTCTGACCTAAACGATTCTATGATTCTATGATTGTTGGGGCATCAATTTCTCCAGAGCAATAGGAGGTGCTGTCTTTCCCACATCACTTTCTAAGTAGGGAACTGGTCAGAGGACTGATTCTCTTTCCTATACATACAATGTCCTGGGACTGAAAAGAAAAAATCTCCTAGAGAAGACAAGTGGTCCAGTAGCAAAGTACTTCAGTTGTTATTTTTGTTGTTGTTGTTGTTCTGCATTGTGAGTAAAAGAAAAAGCAGCAATAAAACAAAGAAGTGGGCTGATAACCACGTATACATTCAACAGATAGCAATGACCTCGCTTCTCTTCTAATTTGAACATCCTGGGAAAGGGATAGAAATATCCTTGTCTTTGGTAGGATTATTCAGGCATCACATGTTATAATAGCTTTTCTAGGGACACACAGTCAGCCCACTGACTTGATAGATGCTTTTTTCCTTGAGGGCTTTCATGTTGTAGGGTCAAAGCATGACCAATATGTAAGGGTTTGGTTGTGGCAACACCCATGCTTCTCAGGAAAGCATTAGGGTAGGTACCCATAGAAGTCCAAGAGTGCACATGGCTGGATGGCCAAATCCTCTTTTATCCCCAGGAACTGTTCAACATCCATATCTTCAAAAGAGATGGAGGTGGGTCCTGTCTTTCAATGTGTTCCTTCAGCTCCTAGAGGACACAGGAGTACACACTGCTCTGCTGCAAGACAAAGAAAGAAATGATAGCAGCAGCCATTCGCTCTGTGCATGTGCCAAGGACAGGACTCTCTGTGGCTCCCTCCCTCCATCTGAAGATGCAGCTTCCCCAGACATGTGTGCTGCGGCACTGGCAGGCTCCACAGGCTGACGTGAGTTTTCATCTGTTCTCGCACAGAATGCCCCCCGTGTTTTCTTCCAAAATATATTCACGTTCCTGGCACTGGAAATCTTTATCTTTAGGTGTTGTTTTAAGCACACCCACTGCTTCCTGACTTAAAGCAGTTAGAGCACAGACAGAGATTTACTGACATCAGATAGTGGTTTTCTTAAGGCTGCTTTAAGCCAGATTGCTCTTTTGGTGGACAGGACACAACTGGGCTTCATGTGGATGGAAAATAAAGATCAGCTTTTCCAAAGCGAACATGTTTGGAGCAGGAAACCAAACGATGAATGAACATATCTTGAATGCCGAAGGGCTAATGGGAAGGGCTGGAGTAATTCTAGTTCAAACAAATGCTGGTTTTGGTTCCAGAGGGGCTGAAATGTGCTTCTAATTCGGGTGCAGCCTAAATGTGAATATGTCTGGTTTCATGGGGCAGGTGCCAAGGACTTCAAACCAGGACCAGAACCATTCAAAACGTGTGCAGAAATAGCTCCAAAAGGTACTTTCCCACTACATCCATAATGTCAGAAGAGAGGAGGGGGAGAGATGCTCCAGAAGTTTCCTGCTGTGCCCAGCTCCTACAGCTGCTTCATTCTTAACCCTGTGCTCCCACAGCCAGTCGCAGCAGAGGAACCCCCCACAGAGGCTGCTGCTCAGCCGGACTCCAGGGGGCTGGAGACTCGAGCCTCACATTTTTATGTGATCTGTTGCTGTGTTCGCACCTCTTCAGTGCATTTCATTTCAAAACTATGATCATGCTTGGTTTCAAATGGGACTTCTGTAGTGAGTCACCCCTAAAGTACCCAGTGGTATGTAAACATACCCGAGCTCTCCTGAAAGGAGGTATCTCTGTTTTTAATACTGGCACAGACACTCTGACGAGATGCTGACCCATCTGTATGTCTAAATGTCCAAGCATGTTGCTCCAGGCTGCGCGGGCTGGGGTCTGACTTCTTACTAATACAAATGCAGGCTTTGACACACAGGTGCTGAGGGATTTGGGGAGGTATCTGATTCAGAAAAAAAAAGGGTTGACTGCACATAGATGGCCTCTGGCTTCCTTCAGGGATGTTCCCTGTTTTCCCCAGCCTCATGCTTTGAATAAGCATCCAGAGGCTTGGGAGCTTATCCAGACTTATCCAAATCTCTTTGAAGGGATGGATTAAGGCAGGAACCCTGGGACCTAGGCCAAGAAACCTCAACAGCACAATAAGTCAGTGAGAAACCAAGAGTCTGTCCAGGGGAGCTAGCTAAGGAAAAATGAAGAAGTCCATCCCAGGGAGGTGATAGGAAGGGATCATCTGTCTGGGGAAGAAGGGCTCTGAGGGGAGCTGAGAGAGGGGGATGAGAGAGGGTGGAGGGTGCGAGCTGGACTGGGATGGCTTTGAGAAGGCCCCACTGTGGTAGGCTCAGGCCCCAGTTGCCTTAAGCCAAGCCTGCCTTATGGGTCTGTGACCCTGGCTGCAAACTGTCTGCAAAGAAATTATGGTGGGAGGCTTCTCTCTGACACCAGCTGCATCAGCAACGCCAGTGGAGCAGGCTGTTATCCCAGCACAGATTACCTTGTGAAAGACATAAATAATGGAAGCATGAGGAAATCGTATGAAATAACATATGGTCGCAAGGAAGAAGACCAGGAGGTTTCTATTCACCTTGTTCCATGCAAAGGGCAAGAGCACATTTAATAAAATACTGAAATATGGCAAAATAAGAACTGATGAAAGGAAATCCCAATTCAGACAGCATAGTCTAACCTGGTGTCATTGCCTGATACAAGACATCACTTAGTCTACAAGTCCTGAGAGACTGAATAAAAAGCAAGGTACATGGACAAGTAGCAGGGTTTTATCAGTCTGTGGTATTAAGGATCAGTAAAGGTGCTGGGATTGTCTGCTGGTTTGTTACAGCTTTTGCTGCTTGGTTTGAGGTTGTGTGTGTGGTTTTGTTGTTGTTTGTTTATTTGTTTGTTTTCCTGGGAAGATCAAAGTACTGCCAGTAGAGGAATGTTTGTGCTGTGAAGGGCAGATTAAACAACCCCAAAACATTGTGGGGGACATCAGTGGTGCAGGAAGAGCAGAGGGAAGGAAGCAGGAAAGGAAGATGGTGGTTGCCTCCACTGTCCTGCAGACCAGCAGCCCTGAGCCACGGGACCCCATCCTGCTGTGGGCTGAGACAGGGCCTCGACCACCCAGAACGACTCCTGGAGCAGGAGTTGCCCTTTTCCAGCCACCTAGTTTGTTGTTGTCGATGTTTGTTTGTCTTTGGTTTTATCTTAGTTTGTTTCATTCATCTTTACTTTTGGAGGTTTATTTTTGCTACTCAAATTAACCAAGCAACAAGCAATTAGGCTGTTTTACTGAATAAAATATATGCATGCCCCATGTTCTGGGCTTCCAAAAGTGAGTGGGAGCAGAAGGAACACCATTGATTTACAGATTTTTTTCAATGATTGATAGTGGTGTGACTGAGGTTGGAGACCGTCTTGAAGCAGAAAAGCTGAAGTAATCTCAGAGCAGAGTTGGAGCTCAACAGCGTGTCTCCACATAAAAAAAAGGTATATCGATACATAGGTAAAATAGGTGCTCAGCTTTGAAGGCAGAGACTATTTCTCATTTTTGAGTCCTTTCCTAACTGATACGAAAACCCTTTAACCACCAAAGCTGCACAGCACCCTCCCGTCTGCTCCAGTTGACTCACACTGTAGAATAAATCTCAAACTCTCAGAGACAGTGGTTTTGCCTGAGTGAAGCTTGTGGGTCATGCAGGAAAAAGACATCTGCTAAAATCTGTGCATCAAACTCACACAGTGTGTTTAAAGCTCAGGTAATCCTTCACCACATTCTCCAGTTCATACATACAGCTTTTTTCCTCTCTTCACTCCCCACATGAAGAAGGAAGAGGGAGCACATAGCTGAACCCCTGTGCATGTTGATGGGGGCTCCTCTCTCAGCTGAGCTTCTTGGTATGTGAGAAAGCCCAGAAACTGTTAACATAAAGCTAATCAAGCAAGAGCTTGCACCCAGCTCAAAGACCTGTCTGGTTCGTAGTGGGAGGTGAGTAGTCTGTCATGAGGTGGTGGTACAAGTGCTTGTTGCACCCACCAAGTATTAGGAACTGCAGCACAACAGTAATATGGGGGGAGGAAGGGTGGTAAGGGGTGAAGTGACAAGTTACTTCCAAATATAAAGGGAAAAAAACATCCAAAATGTTTGTCTTGAACTATTTTTCTGGTTAATGTTTAACCTTCCATTTTTCCAAAGTAACGTTCTTGTTATCAGCACCATTGCTGAAGGTCACATATAGAATAAAAGTCATATCTTAAACGTGAATAAATAACACAAGCAGAAATTAATTGAGTGCAAATGACTCATGCGACATTTAAGGTTTTCTTTACCTACCAATGTAAGCAAATGGTGTAAGCATGTCCCTTTTTGTCCCATGAGCTGAAAAGAAAGCAAGTGAGCCAGAAATGACCTATTGTGCCACAAATGCACTCGAGCTCCATTAGGAAGGCTCTCGTCCTCAAATCTAGCTATACTAGGAAGCAAACAACTATAGGATGAGGGGATATCTGTGCCCTTTCAGGGGACATGCTCAGGGGGTAGGGGAAGGCTTGCTGCTAATGGGGAGCACTGGGAAAGCATGTGAGCTGCACTGTGCTGTAGTGAATGACAGCTGTGATTTTGACTGATGTTAGGAGCTCTCTGATAAGAACCCAAGGGATAAAACCAAATGCTTTTGAGGAATTTGTGACCAATAAATCAATCATTTCATTAAAGCAAACAAATTCAATGCATATGGTTTACCTCCTGTGTTTGGGGGTCTCAGAAGCCTTAGATGCATGGGGGTTCATCTACTAAGAGGTTTTGTTCTTATGGAGGGGAAATTAACTGGAATCAGCAACGTCATTCAGATTTTCTTTCTGGTAAATCCCTAACTGTTTTTATTTATGGTTTAAAATAGCCATGCTGTTTCATAAGGGAGCAACGGGGATAGAAAAGAAGCCAATGTGGATACATAAGGATTTACAACAAAGACACCTGGCTCATTGATGTGGTTCATAAATACATGTTTGTATTGCACAGTCCAAAAAATATCCAGCTATTGAGAAACTTTCGTTTCATGCAAAGATACAAGTTTTTCATCCAAGATCCAGACACTAGGAAGAAGTGGCTCTGCTTTATAATGCCTAAGGAGTAATTCTCCCGTTTGTTTCAATTATTTGTACATTCCAGGGGGAAAAATGGAGCAAGACCTCTGATACTGAGCAGGCAGCTGTTTTCTGTAGAAGGCATAGAAGCAGTGACTGCTTGCTTTGCAAATTTAAGTGGATCTGAACCATTTCTAAGATTACTGCCGAGACAATTCTTAATGTAATTGTCAGTATTATATTGGATTTATTTATCCAGATCCTTTAGTACTCTCTATTGTGCTCTCCTCAGCTGATAAAACCAGGCATTTTTAAAGAAAAAAGAAAGAAGAAAGCAGCATCATCCAAGCAATCTGCTTTCTAGGTAATTTGTGAACCACTGCCCATGATCCAGTTCTGATGGTCTTACTCTCTGCTTTTTACTTACGGTGGTTTTCAGGGGATCTGTGGCTGATACAGCTTTTGCCTGAATTGAATGAAAAACCTTGTGTATTGGAGTTCCTGGCTTATGAACAGCTGCAGAGGGAAATGTCAGTGGATAGAAGGTAGCTCATTCTGGGCACTGCTCTCATTTTAAGGCCCTCTGTTTTAACACCCGGGAAATAGGGATGTAACTTGCTTTGCTTGCTGGAGTGAAGGCTGGTCTCACCTGCACACTGCAGTCATGGCCTAGTCTGAACATCTCTCA